GATATATGTGTGAATACCTTAATATATGAGAGTATAACGATCGGTGCAGATCCGATTGAAGATCCCTTAGTACGTGACGTATAATCCGTCGATAGCGTAAGGTTCAATGTAACATCATATACGTATATGTTAGTTCTGACGTTCCGCGACGTATCTTCCGCCGGACATACACCAACCCCTATATGTCGATTTGTGGATGTTGGGAAAAATAAATGAAAGGTCGAAAATCTCCTTTATCGTTTATTTGTTCCAGAAACGAAATCACAATTTCATTTTAAAGCGGTTACAATAAGTCCCTGCAGGAAAATCTTTGGCGGCTGAAATCATTAAAAAAATCACGTGGGACACAAATTCTCTTTTCGAACACAAAATTAAAAATTGTAATTTTGTGCGTTATTTTATTTAATCAAAGAAACACAATTTCGTCACGAATAGGGGTACATTACGCAAAGCTCGTAGATGGCAGCAACACCGTATGTAGTAAACAAACTTTTTCGAACCTTTTTGTCTTATGGAAATGAATGATTTCGTTCCTTCTTTTAACTAAATATGCAGAAAAAAGAAATGTATTGTTGGATAAAATTACACTTTCTTATTAAAAATAAAAACAAAAATACTTCACTCTTCGCCCACTACTCTGTGAATGCTGTTTATAAACAACTGTTTACTACATACGGTAATACCGCAATCTAGCGACAGTTGCAGTAACACGTCCTATTCCATTTTTTTTATAAGTTTTTAATATACGACTTTGCTGACGCAGTTATTTTTATATATTTTATTTTTAATAGTCAACGAGTGGGACCACACTGTAGGACCACCGTCTACGCAACCTTTTACAAACTTTTGCTATTCTAGTGCGTTTATTATCATCCATTACTTTTTGGCTAAATATCCTTTTTCGAGTTACATTAACATTTGATTTAATGTAAGTCGAAAAAGGAATAATTTGAAGCACGTTCCTGCTAACTGTACCTACTAGAATTCAGTCAACATGAACCTACCTTTACACTCAGTAGTGCTATTATGCTACATAAACCGCCTCGATTTCGTTGTAGTCACATTATAGCCTATTTCAAAAGTTAATGAAGGTTATATTTGATCGAATGACTTGACATTGTCGTGTTCGAGGCTGTTTTTTTTTAACAGAATAGCACATTCGTTCTATACACTATCGGTAATAAGTATAAACAGAAAAATACACAGCGGTCCCAGTCGTTCGAATACTCTTATGAGTGACGTTCGAGAGCTATATTATAAGTGTTTGGAAATAATTTTCCCATTTAATTGAATCAAAACACTGGCCGCTTAGTACGAATTCCGCAAGCAAATGAGCGGCTTTCTAGAAATTAGCGTCATCCAATTCATAGGAATCGCAAATCTGTATCAATTTTTGTTTTAATTCGTTCCAATTTTGTATGATTAAACGATTTTAAAATATCACCGATCTTTATTTATGACTACATCAATAGATACAAAAACTACTATGGTTTTGTCTATAGTGCCAAGTATGTTGGGATAAGTGCGTGAGTTTGATTTTTTTTATTCATATTCAACCGAGACTTCGAACTCTATAACTGAATTAAAGTTTTTTACTGAGGACAAGCCAAAATATATATATTATATATTTTGTCAATTACCAACAAAATCTTTCGATAATATGAATGCCTAGTTTTGACGGGTAAATTGTTAGATTAATTCGAAAACCATAAAGATTTACTTAAGTAACTAAATGTTCCAAAATTGTCGTTGAATAATAAAAACATTACTGGTTTATGTGTTTTTTTTAAATTTTAAATAAAACAGGATATTTAGATATAGTTTTAAAGATAAACAAAATAAACCGAAAACTGATATATTTATAGTTAACATAAGCGACCAGAGTCCTGACCAAATTCCATTTTACTCTATCAGACCCAAGTTCTATTATTACAGTAATACAAACATTTTCGTTTAACGGGGGGGGGGGGGGGGGGGGGGGGGGCTATGCGAATGTTTTTGTCCGATCGTACGTTAGCTCAGTCGTGGGGTTGACAAGTTACAAAATAAATTGCGATATTCTATCATTTATTATAAAATGGGCTGCATTCAATTAACACTGAGCCCATATCAATAAGTCTCGATATAAATTACAATATAAACGATTACAAACAATACAATATTTGTTCATAAAACTGAGTTAATTTCACTACTTAGATACTTATTCAGTAAGATGACTACATTTTTCAATTATATGATAATTATAATGAACATACAAAATAATAATTATAAGGACACCAACTAAAGGATATACTGATTCATTTTTATTATATTAATTACGAAACCAGCTAAACGATACACTTTACCTTAATATTACAGTCAATACAATAATCGTGGAAACAACACTGATATTCTTAAACATAGAAATTATAACGTACAATTAAATAACAAAATATATGTACAATTTAGTAATAAATAATTACAAGAAAAAAAAAAGGAATAGTAAATAATGGAATCTAATGATTTAATACGATTAATAAATTCAATTCGACGCAATAAAGAATATTACTGAGGACATTTGGAATGGAAAAACGACGGACTGGTTTTTAATTGATATAAATTGTGTCGTTTACATAATAATTGTAAATATTTTTAAACTTTAGTACTTATAAATTACCAGAATCGGTGTTCGGGTAAAATTATATATTATTTGCATCAACACAAAAAGATATTTGAAAAACGTTTTTATATTAGAGTAGGTAATAGGACATACAAAAAATTTGCCAACTTTAAAAAGGGTATATTCACTAGACAATCTCTTTTATAAGTATTATTGCATGAAAACTAGGTAGAAAACGGTAAATCAAACTATACAAAGCAGGCCTCAGAAACACTTACACTCGTATCTATAGTCGAGAGAATAAGTCTTATCTAAAGCAGATATTTTTACCACAAAATAAACATGTATTTAAATGAAGCACGGAATTTTAATAGAATACTATTATTATAAGTTATTAACAGTTCTTACTTCTTTAAAATTCCCGTCTATTGGATAAAAAATATAATGTGCTCAAGTAATTACTTCTCGACTATAGATACTAGTGTTAGCCTTATTGATATAGAAACGGCTTATGTTCCACCAATTTGCGCTGGACACAGACTATCTATATTGCAACTTTATGCCCGCCCAAATCGTACCTACCCGGAAAGCTCATGGTGTTAAAAAAAATAAACAAAAAATAATATCTGATTTTAGAACCTTTAAAATATCAGTGGCGCAAGTTTCATTTTTTTTAATAATTAATAACGCCTCTGATATTTTGCAAGCTAGAAAATTTATCTATTCAATATAATAACATATGAATATTAACTATTAGGAAAACAAAATCATATACTACTGTCATAAAAAACAAATGAAATTTTTTAAACCTCAAAATTGTGATAATTCGCTGAAAAAATTCTCTTGAGACCCTGTCCAGAATAACGTGCGTATAATACGCGTTATGACGACATTAAACGTTAGTAAAGTATAATGTGACAAATACTTATATTTAACCTTTGCAGTGTTTAAGTTAAAATAGTGTCTTAATTCGACGCGAAATCCTCCTTAGCCTTATTCTGAACAAAGCCTTAATGGCATTACATAAAATAGGGTCACATAACATGTGCTTTTAAAGCCAATGAAACTTTTTGCAGAATATATTAATGTAAAGGACAAAAAATAATCTGAAATAGTTCAACATCAACACATTGAAATGCAATACATTATTTAATGGAGATAATTATTTAACACGATGTAATATTATCGTATCGTAATACATATACATACGCACACTAAAAATTACGAATTATTTTATCTTAATAATGACAACAATTATAATTGTGTGATTATTATAATTAACAAAAATTACGACTTGTCTCATATCATTGCTTTGAATTCCTTTACATGAGGACTACATAGTCAAAGACAGTTACTCTTGAATTCATGAAAAAGGAGACTGAGAAAATGAAGCATGCAAAAACGTTGTTCCTATCGACTTGAAAATATTTAAATTTTGAACACACCCCTGGATCGAAGGTAATTCTAGACGAGCAATACTCAATTCGAACGAAAGATAATAAGTAACTAATGAATCATGAGCCAATTAGCAATTCCTTGAGGAAAGCAAAAAACTAACGTCAATTGGAATCGTTCACTTCGGCCATGTTTTTTTTTTCAGAGTAAAAGTGGCTCATTGACATAGCTCCTTTCCCGAGTGAGAAAATAAAAAAAAAAACACTGTCATTATTAGTTCATTGCATCAATCAGACTTAAATCAGTCTTCGTTTGATCGTCGAAAAGGTAAAATTAAACTATCTTCCTACACGAAAAATAAAAGAAAAAAAAGATCAAGCAATTTTTATTATGCTACTCAGATTATATTCACGTTACACAGTCTTAGTAAATATATTAATGTCGGTACGTATTCGAATTATTTGGCGTGTATTATTAAATATTATATGTATTTTCAAAGTACAAAATCGTCAAAAGTTATAAAAGAAAAATAATAGAAGCACGGTACAAAAAAATAAGCACAACAAAATTTCTTAATTAATTTTTTTATATTCCTGATTTTGTTATCATGTAATAAAAAAAAATCTTTATATAAAGTCCTCTAATTGAAAGATTTTTACTCCAAATAAATCACAATGAGTCTTCAAAATCAACGTAACTTAATGAGTTAAATATTTTTTAAATCATGGCTTTATCATATTCCAACATATTAAAAATCACTTATAGTGCTATAAAGATATTTGAAAATAAAAAAAAGAAATACTATCATGACTACATAATTTCACAAACAAGTAACACAAACGTCACATGTTAATGCAACGATCGACATGTCAACATGTTAAATGCATCGGTCACATGTCAACATGATAAATGCATCGGCCACCCGTTAACATGTTAAATGCATAGGTTCACGTGTTATATTGTTACGTTTTCAACTAACTCACAATTTATACATACCGGGACCTGTTTACATGTTGTATGCTATATAAATGGCGTCGATCTGGTCGGACAGGAATCCGTCTCTGAGATGCATGCGTTGCTTCTCACCGCGCGAATTGATCGGCACGACGCCGGGATCGACGACTACCACCACTCCCACTATGAGGTGGTGCTCCTCTAGTACCGTGTTGGTGACTAGCGGCACCAAGTTTAACGCTTCACTGTCGTTGCCGTCCAATTCCACGACGACCACGAGCAAATTCGTCCAAGTGAACACGGCGCTGTACGGACAATTTTCTATTTTAAAAATTGTGCTACGGAAATTAATTTTTCGAATAATAATAAGACTGCCCGAGTTAAATTAGGTTATTGTTTCAATTTATGACATATTTCCGTAATAGTATATTTGTTAGGTACTGTTTTATAATTTCACATTGGAGCTGTTCATGAACGACTTACGTGGTGTTATTATATAGAGGACGAAAAATGATATTTCTAAATTAAAGAAGGATATTATTGAAATTTAGAGATTAAGAATTGATTGACTGTTCTTTAAAATTCTTTCACTGACAATAAAGAAGAAATACGTACATACACATACGTATTAACATCATACGAAGTTGGCATGGGTTATAATTTACGCGTTAAATTACACTGCTAAAACGCAATCTGTTCAAAGCTGCACTATGAAAAGTTATCATTTTAAAAGTCACCTTGAGGTGTTATGATGGGCGAGTTAACTTTAAGGTTAAAACAAGCAGATAAGAAGATAATTACAGTTACGAGAATTAATAAATATTATCCTCCATAATTCAGCAATGATATATGCAAACAAACGTCGATCCTATATACGAAGTTTTATGAAAGCAGGTGTGCTGCATGTGCGGTATAAAAAAAAAACACAAACGCCTAGATTTTTAGAAGAGGAAAAAGAACAAGATTGGTAAACACTTACCATTCGGCAATCTTTTTGTGGCAGCGCATTACTGAATTCTCGATATCGATGGGATGGTATCTCATGCCTCTGAGCATAATAGTTTCGTCTAGAGCTCCCACTACGAACACGGCGTCGTGAGTGTCGTGTGTGTCTGACACGGCGCTGACACTTCCACATGCTGACGCCAGCGACTCCGTGTCACTATCACGAGCCATTAGCGAAGTCTCGTCCCCGCTAGTATTCACAGCAGTAATCTCAGTCCTCCTCAAAAACCCTAAGTATCCCGTCCGTGCATACACTTCCCCTGTATTTCCTGTAACTAATTGAGCGCTGAAATGGTCAGCGTAATCGCATTCGTCACCGTATATCGTGAAATATCCGCTCGCGTTGTGCGGCGATTGCACCCAAATCTCGCCCAAATGCGAATCACCGCATTGACCTTTCGTTTCCGGATTCGCTGTAATAACTTTAACTCCGGGCAAGAGTTTGCCAGATTCCATCAGACATAAGGAATGCGGGCTGCCACGTTCCACGAGCGACACACGATCGTTCCGCAACGCTCTTAGATCTACGTACACTGTAGACGGCTCGGGACTAGAAGCGCCTTGTAAGCATATAGCTATATTCACACGACAACCGAAGGACGTGGACACGGCACGGGGACTGAGACCGAGAGCGGAAAATAATTTCGAGAATGAATTCGTCAAGTTGATTCGCGGTCGTTCTTCCGCAACGACCACGCAGGTCCTGACGCAGGCCAAGTTGATTCCTTTGGATTTCAACTGGTTTACAGAGCTTCCTAGTCCTTTAGTGCATAACTCCATCACCCCGTACGAGCAAAAAGTGTCGCGCACTTTGTATTGTGACACTGCACTCAGCCAGAGGGCAGGGTTGATTTCTACTTCGGAAGGTGGGATGAGTATGGAATGGTGTCCTGAATAAATGCTGCTCAAACACCACAGAGCGAATCCTAGGCCGCAGTAGGGGTCGAGGCATAGGGCTATGTGCCTGGAGGGGTACAATTCACACGCTATTTTCATGGAGCGGCACAGTGACGTGACGGCCGCATGGGACATTTTGATGCCCGCCAACATTCCGGTGGTCGATACGCTAAAGTCTAAATATGCAAGCATCTCCGCTGTGGGTGCCCTGTATAAGATCGGTAGTTTCTTTTTAGGCATGTCATCTGTGTCTAAGGTTATCGGCCATGCTTTACTGTCTAACACGTTACTAGCCTCCTTAGAGCGGAGTAGTTTTATCACAGATTGGTTTGAGAGGACTAGTGTGGCCTTGCTGACGTCGACGATCATTCGCACTGTGGGTAAGGTCGTGTGGAGGTTTTGTGGGTGGGGTGGCCTTATAGTGACGGGAACGGCGCCAACATAAAGGCAGCCATAGAAAGCGCATATGAGATCCAGCCCGGGTGGGAATATTAACGCGACATGATCCCCTGTATTGACGCGACCCTTCTCTAATAACAAGTTGCCAATTCTCTCAGCTTTCTTATGTAATTCTGCGCAAGTCAACACTTTGGCAACGGCCCCTTTCGAGTTGAGCAAAGTAAATATAACGTGGTCCGACGTGCTTTGCGCTCGCCATCTTAGTATTTGTGATATAAATTGATACTGCAAAGAAATAACTTATATTAAAAGACGCGATCCTAAAGTCAAAAGCATATAAGGTTATTCAAAACTATTAAAATGTTTAAACTGATATTCAACCATAACATATAGAACATATAGAGTTCAAAATTGATCGCGGCTTTAATTATTTTGTAGTAACAGTCTGCTCATGAGAGTTAAGATCAACGATGTCATTGAAGTCGCAACATTTTTTATTAAACATAGTTTACTTTGAAAAGGTTATACTTCTTGAGTAAAATTAAAAGACGAAGTATAAGAGGTAGATATATCTAACAAAGGTATCTTACCTTTCTGGCAGCATCTGAGTCATCTGTATATCCCATATCGCGTCCTTGGGCAGATGCTAAGCGATTGCCTTGCACCAAATTGCCAACTATAACAGAGGCTGGACCAACATCTGAAAGGGAGAATCTCATTAAATTAAGTACTAAAAGTTCAGATTTAAAAAAGAACTGGAAATCAAAAAAAGCATGTGTAAAGGAGTCTTCTTAACGGCTAAAAATTGTAACAAAATCAAAGAGATTTACGAACGGCAGAAAAGTGGATTGTATAGTAAACGCAAATATTTCAGATAAATCGAGCTAATAAGATAGCGTATACTACGTTATGTGATAGTTGAACTGAGTAATGCACCTACAATCTCATAGTAATATTTTGTGAAAATATCTTATTTCAAGCTACAAAACATAAACTCTTTAGTTTAATCCATGACCACAAAGTCGTCAATAAATGACACTTTATTAGATGTGAGAAAATTAATAAAACAAGCAACTATAAACGTTTTCACAGTATAATGCTCTAAAACTTACAGATGTCGAATTCTGTCACTAAAAGCGACATGGTTTAAAGTAACCCACATTATTGCCGCCGAGGGAATGCATTCCTGTCATCTGTCAAATACTTATATAGCGATGATGGGAAAAGGTATGGTTGATATTATTTTTAACCGACAATCTCATCTCAAATATTATCTCAATTATTTATAACTAACTTTAGAACAAAATTATCTAGCACAATATCAGTTGATATAATGATGTTTATGCTTATTTTTTGTATAACTTTAAAGCATGAAACAACTAAAATATTTTTATCTTAAAATTTAACATTATTCCAAAGACATATCGTCAAATTCAAGTACTTAAGTTATAGAAAGGCATTCTCTCGTCGGTCGCACTGTACTTATCAAGTAATCGGGTAAGGAACTAGCACCGATATACGTTTACCATAATGAATACCACAAAAATCTCACCCGAATGTATTTCTCTCGGTTTCGGCAGGTTTGTGACACAAGTGTGCGGACACATTAGAACATTGGCCGGATGCAAAGTGCCTTCGAGGAAACGCCTCTTGCACTCGCTGAGGTGTATACCCCCCAGAGGAGTCTTGGGTAAATAGTTCGGTTGAACTAATGCCAAGCAATAGATGCCCACTTGGTGTATAGAGTCGACCGCTTGGAGCACCCGCGACATCCATTGGAACGACTGTTAGAAAGTTCGGGAATATTGCTACTGTTTTGAAAGTGTTTTATACATAAAGTAATAATATACAAATAGTGACACTAGAAATATAGACAAATTATTTCTAACTGATTGATGGAAGTCTGATTAATTTTATCTTCATCTGTTTACTCAATAATGTTTTCATTTGTTTTATAATTAAACTAACAGCCAACGGCTTCGTCCGCGTGATCCCTAGGGAACCGTTTATTTGGATATTGATTCATATTAAGACACGGATATAATTACAATGACACGTTGAACATAAAAAACAATGGTTACTATGGTAACGCTTCATTTTGCAATACAAACTTCCACTTCCATTTTCATCCCTTTATTTGCTGTTTTTTAGATAATATATGGCCTATGAATTTTTACAATCTGTCCATGAATTTCGGAGCCAATTCCTTGCAAACCATAAATCAAAAGCCGTGTTATGTTAGTAACACTAACCTCTTCCTCCCCGCAGTCTGGTCGCTGCTCGGCGACTATACATATGCGTTCATCACGCAGAACGCGCACCGAGAACACAGCGATACGACCACGATATATGAACTTCATGGGCTCCACAGCGAGAACTGTCGCTATGATATCGTCCATGTTGTGTTTGCGACCGGTCACTGTCATCAGACCGTCGCGAGATCCACACACGAATACCAAACCTGACGGATGAGGTGATCAATTAACAACATTATGGAAGAATATCACCAATTTCCCTATTATAATTGATTTAAGGCACAACTTATAAACATCAGATAACATGTCGTTACTTTTGAATTATCTATCACATTTCAATTACAAATATTAAAACGAACATTTCACTTCTCAATAATTACAACACGAACTAAAAATATAAGAACAACAAAAAGGAACAATATTAATGCTAAATTTAAAACAAGAATAACTGCAGTAAAGGACATCTTAGGGTTCTGGTATGTAATATACACTCACCACCAGGTCCCAGGAATCCCAAAAGGCCGCTCCTTACATAATATTCCTCTCCTATAGGCTCTCCATCCGAATCCAGTGGCCTAACTCGGAATACTGTGTTGGTGAGACCAGGTAAGCCCCAGTAGCCGGACCCAGTGGCACCGGACAAGACGCATATCTCACCCACTTCATCAGTCTTACAAAGGAAGGCGGGCCCTTCCATTTTCACAACCACTATCACACCTACGCATATTATACAGAATTAGTGCACTGGCATTATGATGAACCAATTGTGATAAATAAGTTTTTTTTTATCTATTACAAGATCTCCATATATCATAGCTAGTGGTCTGAATAGGTAGATTCATATTTAGTAATTGTATCCATAAATGATCATAGAAAGAACAGCATGGATGAGACATTTGCCGATTTTTTTCAGGATTTAACATAATACAGTTAATATTAATATTACGCAATTCAAAATTGGAAGCAATTTGTCATAACCAGAGGTCGGAATTAGGTAGAGTTATTTATGTACTTGCATCGAAATGTTGATATTAATGTGGACCTTCGTGGCAACATCGTGCCTATTGGTATTTTGCAACTTTGGACATTCGATGTCATTGATGTAAGTTTGGCAACGTCGTGCGTGCAGTAGTTGAAATTGTGTAAAAGTAAATAACTTTTTATTTAAAAAATCACGGGATTTTTTCTGCTCTTTAAAATTAATCTCGGGATTTGGGGCATATCCACTTTATTCTTATGCTGTATGAAATCAGTGTAAGTACATGAATAACTCTACCTAATTCCGACCACTGGTCATAACTAATTAAATTTATTTACCTATTTCATGTTTTGAAATGAGATTATTTTTATAAAATTTTAACTATGTTTTTTACATATGTGTTAGGCTAGTGAATTTTAACGCATACCACAAACATGGTTGGTAAGTTGTTCTTTAAATAACATCATGAATGTGATCACTATGCGTTGTGTGTTTATTTTGTTACTTGTGATTATTTTATTATACTCACACGATGGCATAACTTGACCGCAGTCCTGCAATGTGAGCGATGTAAGAGAGTTCTCAGCGTCAACGCGTACCACTCCATAAGAGAGGCCGGACATTGACAACACCCCCCGCCCCGCGGATGACCCCCCGCGCCCCGCACGTCGTACGCACACAGTCAAAGATTCACTACTACACGCGCACGGGCATATGGCGTCACCGCGAACACCTTGGGTAAAACATAAAAGCGATGAGGCATTCGCTTGGCAATGCTTTTTTCAGTACAAAATGTGAACTGCTCTCATATAAGGTTGTAACGTTTACCCTGTACTACGAGAAGGCAGGCTTCTCCTTACATAATCCTTCTGTTTTGACTTGTGTGAATATGTGTGTCTGTGTGTGTGTGTGTTGATTTTTACGAATTTTTTGACCTGTGGACTAATTGTCTAACTTTTCAATATAGCGGTTGTGATTGTGACAGGCCGAGCGTTCGTGTCCCTGTATGACTAATCATTACTAACCCCTACTAATTTTATGCAGTTACAGATCTGCAATGCCAATAAAATTTTGAAGCAATGATTAGCAATACCTAACTACATACATACTTTTTTCATTAAATAGAGTATAGCTATTGACTCAATAGTATCAAATCTTTTCTGAAAAAACTATAAAAATGACGACTATGGTGTGGCATTTTAAAACTGTTCGATACAAGTAAGTATCGAGTAAAAGTATCGATTCTTAAGTGGTATCGTTGAATCCCTAAGCTCGTCATGTCATACGAGTATTTCTGAATGAAATCTATGTATAAAAAGATCGGTAAACCAATAATGGAGGAATTTATTTAGGTACATCGTGTTATAGCCACCTTAGTGACGTTTGCAAATTTTGTTGTAGTTCAAAAATAACCATTTTATGAAATAATTATAAATACAAAAGCAATCAAGTAATTATTCTTAGTATTATTTCCACCGTAACGAGTGATTATGTTATTTCTAGAATAATAATTATAAGCGTTATTGGGTTTTATATGTATATAAAGTATATCCTTAATAAAACTTTTAAAAACATACATAAAATATCGAAACATTGCAGTCAGTATTCAACACTTATATATGACATTACCCAATAGCTAATCCTAATAATATAGTTGATTTACGTCAAATGAGCGTTATTATTCATTCAATATCTTAAAAAAAAAAATGACGCCATTGCAATTAATTTCACATGTCAAATTCAAAATGATTTAGTAAAGTTTTTTTTTTTAAAACAATTTGGCCACTGTGTTTTATAATGTCTCTGTATGATTTTAGTAACTTGTTATAAAGACGCGGATCTATGTATACATGTGAAGGGAAGTTTAACAAGTGCTGAATGGGCTGTTGGAACTTTATATCTAGGAACTGTTGTTGTTACCAAGGATATATGGAACTGTTTTGCAATGGAACCTTTATAGTATAAGAAAAACATAAAGCTTGAGGACAAGGAGAACCGTTGCTTGTTGATATAGTTGTTCTGTTGGGATTCTATATGGTAGATGGTAGATGGATGGTCCATATGGTGGTAATATGTGACTATAAAATTGGTTTTATGGCGTGGTTTTTGATTTCCACGATCTAAGCATCGTAGGCTTTCCGGCGTACTATGAGCAAAAATAATAATTAATGTTGGTAAAACATATCACGAATTCCACACATGAAAAACACAGTCCACTCACCTTTTGTCTGGAACACGGAGAGGAACTGGTCACAAGAAGACAACGACCAGGGATTAGCTCCATCGGCCACGAGTAACATTCTCAATGAACTAAGAGAAATCTCCTTGTGGTCGCGCGTCGCTAACAGGCCCCAGTGCAAGTCCCGTGACTTCACTATAGCCACGGACGCCCTGTACAAAATTTTGTATGTGGTGTACATTCGAATAGTTGCGACCCCACGTCGCGTTTTCTATTATTTCTTCGCTCCTAATAGTTGCAGCGTGATGTTATATAGCCTAAAGCCTTCCTCGATAAATAGTCTATTCAGCACAAAAATAATTTTCCAATTCGAACCAGTAGTTCCTGAGATTAGCGCGTTCAAACAAACAGACAAACTCTTCAGCTTTATAATATAAGTATAGATTTAAAAAAAGAGAAACGTTCACAACAATTACAATGTAGGCAACTAACCTGTACTTTGTGATCATGTGCATCCAGGAAGCCGGGCTGACCTTCATAAGGGCATAAGGTATGAATATAACGTGCATGCCATTTAGCACGCTAGCCAGCACGGCGTGCCAGAGCCCAGTCTCCCTCTTGAAGTCTAATACGCATACCATGTGTTCGCCTTCTGTGTAGTTGCACGCCACTGACAGCATGCGGCAGTGGGCCAGCATTGACGCCCTACGTTCAAACAAAATACAGATATCAACCCGACGGGCGAAACTTTATTTTAGCTGTATGTTATACCTAATGTGACCATTTTTTTGTGTCAAAACGGGACGCCTACGAAATAATGAAAATGAATAGAAAAATATCTATTTCGATGTAAAATGCTATAATGATTGAGGTAAAAATTAAAAACGTAAAATACTTATGAATATAATTTTTAAACAAAATCAAAAAATCTTAAAACAAGGAACATACTAGCCATTTATAAAGTCATTTACCGATTAATAACATTTACAAATCATTACAAAGTAAATAATAATAGGAGTTTGTGTTGATGTTGTTTAATGAAATATTAAACTTGTATGTGATTAAAAAATCCAAAGCTTAATAAGTTACATCAACGGCAACATTCAGTATAGTAAATCACTTTACTTTTCGAGTGAACATCTCAATGAAAAAAGTACATTTGCAAATAGCGGGAAGTGAATTTGTAGGGAAACGCCAAAGCGGGATGACACTAGGCCCTGTTGCTACGGTAACATTTCTTCCTCGCACCCTTCACCTCCTACGATACCTATTCAAGTTTACTGCGTTGGGTTTACTTTCGTGCCGGGCACTGTATCTTACGTGAAGCCCTACGGGCATTATTTTAGTGAGAGGGGGAAACTAGAGGTATTTAGGAACTATTGACGAAATAAAATAATATATATATAGTTAGAGTTCCAGTTCCGAATGCTTTTGTTTTATTTTGTGTCACCTAGCAAATCAGATACAGGTTATATTATCGGTGAACATACATCGCCGTCGAACATATAACCTCCTCCTTTTAGATTTTGAAGACGGTTGAAAATGGAAATAGATTTTATTATAGTCATTGTTTTGTGTAGCTAGATCCTTGAATCAGTAAACTTTAAAATGGCGAAAATTGAGTTCATAATCCTTGTTTCTACTTCATAGCACCACCTAGCGAACTTAACCCACATCACATAAACAAATTTAGGAGGAAAAATCTGCTTAGCGTTTAATTGCAATTTACCTACTGTTGAACGGTTCGTGTCCCAAAAGTATGTCTAATTATAACTTTGTGCGTACAATGTACATATACCCTGTTACAGCACTTTATCATATTGCAAGATCAGTGTCTGATCTCCGGATTTTTGAGTTTCTTTCAGTCTCTAAAGCAACACTTATACCGCACAAGACAATAGATGGCGTTACTAGTAGTATGAGGTTTCAGAATTTCAGACCTTTGGTAAATCTTACTTTAGCGGTGAAATATTCCCATACATAAAGTATATACAATCAGTTAAAAACATACAGGTATATTAGAGATCGACAACTTCGTTCTTTTAACACATTCCCACTTTGTAATCCTCTTTTTCATTCTGGCTTTATGTTCGACTCTTTTACCCTTCAAGCCATACGACTGTGGAATTATTTTTAAACGCCTTTTTTATGAAAAATATGTGAAATTCATCATTAATATTATTTAACTATATTCGTGTTATTGTATGTATATATGTAGTTGTATTTTTATATAATATTTATATTTTTTTTTCGTCAGTTTCTAAGCATGTCTACGCATAGTTAATCTTTACTTTATGCTGCCATCGCTTTTATCATTTTTTCTAAAGGTGGCCTGGGAGAGAATGCCATAAGCATTAAGTCCACCTTTTGTACCATTTTCTTTACTGGTTTAATAAATAGTAAAAAACTAATAAACAATATTTGATAAATATAATAAGTTAAATTATAAACAAATCTTAGTTTTCTTTCACATTGTTAACTTACAAAATAGTAATTTAGTCTTATCAGTTGCTATGCAATTGTCACCTCCATACAATTGCTAAAATTATCCAAAGGGTGTTCCGTGGAACCATCAAATTGTTTAGTCGAATTCACTTCACGCCAATCAAACAATTTAGTTCATTGAGCATGCAGTGAATGCAGTCTCTTCGATTTATATATTTATACTTCTAGATTCATCTATAGACCGGTGGTTTTTTGTATTATTTTAAAAATTCCAGTCAAAACAGTAATAAAAATAGCGAGTATGGCATTTATTTTGATACGCGCGAAGTACACAACCTCAAAGCTGGTGTGGATATGTGTGCATATCATGTAAAATGTTCTTCAACTTTGACCTTCACATCTATAGTCGAGAGAAGTAATCACTAATATCATAAATAACTTAAGCAGACATTTTAACGAAATAAACAGGAACTTGAATATAGTGAGAACTATTAATAGTTACAATACTATTATTATTAGCTATCAACAGTTCTTTATTCATACTAAATCTCGTCTATTGGTTTAATATTTGCTTAAGTTTTCTTAAGTCTGTTTGAAATTTCTATTTTGACCGATCTAAAAATCCCTCATATAAATAGGTACAGTCGGGCGAAAATATCGGCTAGCATTCTAAGGTTGAGGTATTTAAACTTCACAAACCAACAAAGTCTATTTTTCCTAAAGGAAACCTTAGCAATAATTACATCTCACTGAAAATTTTATCAAAACGTTCTTGATCGACTGTACCTACATGACGTCATATAAAAATAAACGTAATTTATCCAAAGGATTTTTCAGTAACATTAATTATGTTACCATCCCCTCCGTTCTCTTATAAATCTCGTAGAAACATAGCGAGACCTTTTGTGGTAATGTCAATGCCGTGGCTATAAAATAACTACCCTATTTGTGCTGAATGTCAATAAATGTGACGTAATACATACAACGGTAGTACGCCCGACGATATAATTTAGCTTACAAAGTTCCTTCAAAGTGCTAAATGTGCTTTGTACATATTCGTGGCCCGATGTGATATAATTTTATCTCTTATCATTGTATTAACACGCGAAACAAAAAGTTTAAATCCCACTTTACTGAAATTGCGAGGACGGGGAAGTATGAAATATGGCAGTTGATATTAATATGGATACGCTGTATACGTATTTGTGAGCTTCAACGACCGACCACCTAACTCTTTAGTTATAAAATGTTATTGACTTTATGAATGAATGTGTTTATATAACGACAAATAATGCTATTTGGATAAGCGGACAACTAAATATAAATAAACCAAAGGGTTGGATTGGTCAATAAATAAAAAAAACGGAATATTATCATATTCATAGATAATATTGATAAGAGGTTCCTATAACTATGGTTAGAGTTATAGGTAGAGAGTTAGGCTGTCGCATAGCTAGGTCATTTGATTTTTTTTGCCCAATTTAAAGTAATAACCATAATATTGGCTTTTAGTAAAATAAAACCCAGCGTCGTGTTTAAGTAAGTTTAGTTTAGCGTTGTGTATTTATTGAAATGAAAATTCCGAATTGAAACTCTTAACTTTCGCTAATGATACTGCATTTGGTCTCCAAAAGTCAATGTTTTTCTACGCTTGGGAAATATTTACTCGTTTATACATAAAAAAAATATATATTTTTGAAAAATAACTTATTTTTTTAATGTTATCAAAACTCGCTAAATTTAATTTTATTATAAAACTTCATACTTAGACGAAATTAATCATTCATTCCCACTAGTTAACCCGATTAGTTTAATCGGTTGAATTAATGCTCTTTTATTCCCAGTACAGTTCCTACTTATGTATTAACTCTTTTAAAGGTTGCACTGCTGGGAGTCGTTGTTTTCATTATTCAGTGCGGGTTCAATTGGCGCCCTAGGCAAATATGGGAACGTCGACCATGAAAACTATAACTATATATAACTTTTGAATACCGTGTACATTAATTCATGTCTAAAGAACAAAAATATAATTATCGTACTGTGTGGGTGGGATCAAATAATTTAAAAACAAAGCAGACTATGCCATGCCGTTTACCAAATACGAGTGCCCTAGGTATTTGCCTAAGTTGCATGTACGAACGAGCCGACTCTGCCACTAGAAGTACACCTGAGCTGTTCAAACTTTAAAATATAATGATGACTGAATGGCATCTATCATATAATGATGAGTTTTTTTGTTCATCCGTCAGATAGATTGCTTAAAAATATTAAACGTGTATTTTTAAAATTTTTGTGTAAACATCAAATTACAGCAATACATCGAGTTAAAATTTCACATGACGTCACGCTTTTGTACATTATCTACACACAGATGTAGCGTGTTCCCACTGCTCAACTTAAAAGCCTGTTATCTAAGCCATTTCTCGTTAGACTGAAGGTAAAAAAAGATACGTACCGATCTTATATTTTTCTATCATCTGACTGACGAAATAAATAGAATACCCAATTATCATCCCAATTTTTCCCGAGACGACTCACCTGGTAACTATGACGCCCATAGCGGATCCATCTGCCGCCGAGGTGTGCTCTATATGAGCGGGGCTGTCCTCCGCGGGGCGCGGGGGCGGTATCCAATCGCGCGGCGGCCGCGGCAGCTTCTCCGTTGACACCCACTGAAGGGACGGCCAGCCACGGAACGACACCACATCACCGGACGACGTCTTCGGTAGGCCTGGTGGTGTTATCAATTTTGTTGAATCACGTGGCGTTCTTTCGTAATCAGTATCGTTTACTGTCCACACACGTATTGAACTTTACATAAATGTCATTCAACTTGAGTAGAGAGAATGCGTTTCATAAATGTTGACTTGAATTCGACGTCATAACTTTGAAGTGGTATTTTAAAATGTTTTTGGTAATTTTTTTGTCCGCTAATAAACATTATGAAGGTACCAACTGACATTATACCTGATGCATGATTTAGTTCTTAATTTAATGTTTGTTGACTGAGAATAATATACCAAAAAATCACAGTCTCAACGAAAGCAATCGTTAACTCATTTCTGTGAGAAAATGGGGAAGTTACTTGGCATTGGACATATGTGTTAAAAAAAAAATCGCGCGTGACGGAGTTCCACACCCAAGCGTACCAAGAGTACCACACCCAAGCTTTTATACGTATGGATGAAAAAATAAATGCCACAAACACATGTTTTCAATATTCGAAAAGAAGAAATTCAACAAATATAGATTAATTTTAAAAAGCAGACTTGAATCGGTAGCAACAAACCAGACAAAAAAATAATCATGCGTTTATTCCTACTACTGAAGGTATTGCGATAAACGCACATGTAACAGTGAAGCATATTTGAAAATTAATTTCAGTTAATAATAGTAAGTAATTCGTTTACATGTATAACATTCAAACTATACAATGTAATCTGCAAACTCAAACAAGTGGCAGGCGTTAAGCGCGTTTTGTGGCAGCACGCCACGCTCTGCCAGTATTTGTAGTCTAGCTCCTAATTCTATACCATGCCCATTATAAAATTAGCACGAACATTCTATACAATATTAGCTATTATTAGAAAAAAAAAATCGACATGGACTTACTCTGTGAAAAATCAAGGTTAAAATATTGGATCGCATTTTGTATAAAAACAAAATCATTTTTCGTATCTTTAAATGCAATTTTAAAGCTCATTAAATTAAGTAATAAATACGACTTGGTTAAAATTTCAAAGTCCCTCAACTCTAATCAGCCATTAAATTATAAAAATATTGGTACACGTGAACATACCTGAATATTACTGAAATCGGAAACATCTAATTTTTTACCTGTCTGCTTTGTGTGGAATATCCCATAGCCTTTATCCATACGCATATTCTTTACACGATTTTTTTTAAATTTATTTACAGGTGGCTCAATTATATTTTGGAGAACTTTATTAAATTCATTTACCCAGAAATGATCCTCTTGTTTTTTCAAGTCTGAAGCTTATAAGGGCAAGTTTTTTACACTAAGTATGATAGATTGAACATTGTTAATATACGGGTACAAATGTAATTAATATACGGGAGAATCCAAGTAGATCTACAATATCAATATGCCTATTTAATTACATTGCTTATAATGATCACGGTGCCAAATCTAATTATTAGCTTTGCTACATGACCAAAGCCAATATTCAATTAGTATAGTATTACACAAGCATTATACTATCAAAGGTACGAGCATGGATAATCATTGGTTAAACTACTTCAGTACGGCTGAAAAGACCTTAACTACTACTAAAATAAGGATTGATTTGCTATAAAACTATTCCACATAAAATGTTAAAGACAAAACCTTTCACCAACGTAGGAGTGATAAAAGGTCGTTTATTTTCAATATAATGAGCAGTTTTATTAATTTTTGCTTATTAACGCTTTCTGTCACAAATAAATGTTTCTATTGTATAGTATTCTTGACATTTCCACTCCTGTGCGACGCTTATTGTTGGCCAAGCTATACGGTGGACAGAAACTCACACATTTAGCATTAACCTATCGAGCTACTCGCGACGTTTTGTATTTACCGAACTATCACTGAATGCCAATCGATATCTGTTCAATAAAGTAGACAGTGGCTGCATTCTTAAGACTCTTTTTGTGGTTATGTTGTCAATGCTTGCGTCTTGGGGATACGTAAATTAATTCGCGTCATTTTTGCCGTCTTGCTTGGTTCAAAGGATATTACATTTATTTAATTACATGGAATCGACACGGTAGGAGCCAACGTGACGTGTGGATCTTGCATACCACACGTAAATTTTTACTCGTTTTCGAGTAAAACTATTGAGTAATCCCGTATGTTGCTTAGGAACTTATCAGTCTATCTCAGCGAGCTATGATCGGATTTTTTTCTGAAAGGTAAAATTTGTAAACGACTTTATCCGACAGAGAAACAAAGTAATCGCAATCTATAGACGAACCGACAACCACTGCATATTCCTTATAACTTATGGGCGAGACAATGAGGAAGTTCTAGAATGGTGACAGCGACTCGGCAAACTCGGTGTAGGATGCCCCCGAACTAGATGGAGCGATTATTTGAAAAAGATCGCGGGCAAAGGATGGATAAGATAAGCTTAAAACGAGTAAAAGTTGAATATTTAGGAGACCTTTGTTCAGCATTTGAGTGAAAAGGCCGATGGTATCTGTCTTATTTCGTGTAAGAGTCTAACTTAATTTCTTTTCTTAATTAAACATTAATCTTACCTTTTAAACAAGCGTCTGACGTCAAAGCGTACTGTATCCCGCAGGATCCAAGGAGGAATCCGACTTGCTGGAGTCCAGCGTCTCTCCTAGTCAATGGCACTTCTATCGGGACTGGAACAACTCCAGCTTGCAAGCATCCGTAGAAGGCGCACATGAAATTTATGGGGTCGTTATTTGGGTACACGAGGGCTACTCTATCTCCGGGCTTGATTGAATTATCCCCCGTAAGGGGCCCACCGCTGCTAGTCTTGGATGTAAAATTCTTGTTCAGAATTGCATGTGCTATCTTCAACGATCGGCTTAGCAGCTTACCTGTAGATATATGACAGCTTCACAACATGTCCAAACGCCATGGATATCTCATCCACTGCGTTTGGACATGTTGTACAAATCCAAAAGTAAAAGCTAATAATTTCATTAAATACCCAAAATCAGTTTCTTTCTTAATCTTTCAACGGTTTTACGGTTTTATATATGATTGAAATATCGAAATATAAGACGTAAAACTATGTACTCTACAAACCTTAAATGTTATACGTTTCTATAGCCCACAAAAATTTTGAGGTAATTAAAAAAAATATTGACAATACCCTACTATAAAAATTCCAATTACTTGTTTACTTTCAATATCTTGGATATGTAAATGCTGCTTAACTAACCATAAGTAAGAGAGTTGCTCATTTTCCCATTGGGGTCCAGTACTGTTGCAACGTTAGCTTTAAAGGATGCCGTTCCATATCTTTGTAGGGCAGCCTCCAAATTTCTCGGCAGCCCAGCGGGCACCACCAACTGTTCCCCCACCGCTGGGGTCATTGTGCCTCCCTCCGGTTTAGGCGCGTTTGGATCCTTGGGGTTCGCGGCTATTTCCAATTCAATATCGTCGTCTTCGTAAAATTCCGGTAGGGGTCGTCGTTTCGGCCTTTTTAATGTATTGAGCAATTGCTGAATTTTGGCTGACACCTAGGAGAGAAAAATAAATTGTGATAGTAAGTTTCTTTTTTCGTAATCCCGTTACACGTAAAATTTATTAGATCTTTCTTTATTACTAAATAATTATTATGATTAGAAGTTCTAAGAATCATCCGACATAGCATGAGGGCTACATTACTATAAACTCTGCATTGTATCCAGAAAGGGCTGTAACACAAGGTATATCTAGTACATCTGCGAATTTGTAAACTCTGGTCATAAAACGATAATCAAATATCACTTAAAATCAACAAGTAAAAATGTATGGATACAAAACCAGCCTCAAATCAGGATTCTCCAGCCACCCCGGCCAGTCATATCGCCCGCAGGTCAATATGACTGGCCTAACTGATAAAACCCGCTATTATAGAACTTCTAAGTGCTTCAGATACAGCAACGAAACCGATACAACTCCGTCATAATAAAATCACTAACCTTCCACCGACCAGTGCCAGTGCCGGTGTCCTCAGGTTGCGCGTAGCATTGCACTCGGTCTGCAACTAGCGCGCCTCCTCGTCGATTACCAGACGTGGTGTGCGTCACATCAGGCTGAATATCTAAAGAGAATATTTTAATTACATTGATGAACGGATCAGTGGAAACCATCTAATGAAAAGGAGTGAGTGACAGATGATAAAATATTGAGCGAAACGGAGACACATAACTATCATAAAAAAGAATAATCAAATCGGACAGTTTTTGCACATAAAACATATACGCGTTTTCTTTGGTTGAAAACTCACATAATAGGTTTGAATAACTGAAATTTTGATTTGAATAACAAACACATAGTGATAAAATATACGTACTTACTTGATTGGTTAATGGTTTAAAATATCTTTAAAATCGATAAGAGTACAAATTCCCTTCCACGCTTTAATTACGTTTGTGGTGAATTTATTAGAAATAAAAAAGTCGGAAATTATAATACTGATATCAAAACTTGAATACTTAGAAAATCTTTCGGTACAAAAATTTAAGTGAGAGAAAAGGTCCATTCCAAGTGTTATTTTCTCCAACTCGAGACTTGTGAAGCAATTTGTAAAAGCACTATCAAATCAAGCCTGATTTAAATATCTCGAACAAAAATTTCCATCAATTTCAATGACCGAGATTAAAGGAGGAATTTTCGTAATTTCAGATATTTGAAATCTTGTGAAAGTCAAAGAATTTGAAAGTAAAATGAACTGTGAAGAAAACGAAGTTTTGGTTTCTTTAGTGAACGCAGATATTATAATGGTAAAAATAGTTGAAGATAACATTTTATATTGAAAACATGCTAGATTATCTGCTAATATGTGGATGCAACATGAATTTAAATTTTGATGAATATTGTCTGCAATCTTTCACGATTGCAGACAATATATTATTCGGTAATGTTTTTCAAGATTAAAATTAGTTGAAAAACATTACCGAAAAATGATTTGGATGTTCAAACGAGACTTCAAATAAACTAAGAAGGGCAAAAAATTTTAAATAGGTTATTGAGGTTTCAGTGATACGCAAAAGATGTACGAAAAGAACTTCTAACAATTTGTCTATACTAATATTACTCGTATAAACAACTCAGAAAGAACTCAACCGATTTAAAAAAAAATCTTTCTCCTACGGGAAGCTACATCATACGCGAGTGACATATTTAATTAAACTTATTTTATAAAGTTATATAATGGTAATTTTATATACTCGATATTTTAAATTTCAAGCTGCACGTACTAGCAAATAGAGTGAGTGCTTTTGAAAGAGAATGAAACATTGAATTTAATCATAAATGAGAGTTTATTATTGAATCATCGCATGTGGATCAGTTAGTACGTGGCGATATAAAAGTCCAAATGGGAAAGTACCCGTGCTTTTTCAATTCTCCTTGTTGAGTAATCTCTATTACATATATTTTCATGTTTAAAAAAGGAGAGGTTGGGAGATCTAGTTGAAATATCCTAATTAACATTAGTTTACAGTGTCCTCTTTTGATTAAATATAGCATCATTTTTGTGACTTATCAATCTAACTCATTATCATAATAGATAATGTTATTTTTCATAACATCATCTACATCAGATGTTAAACACAGCCAGATTAGCCTGACTGGTCACGAAGAAAGGATAGGGGAACCACTTGCGGCTTAATAAGTTATAAAACGTTAGCAGCTGTTAATTATTTCAACGCTTTGCTCGTAGTAAATAGTGAAAGAAGGCTAGGTGAAAAACTTTAATTAAAAATTGTAAAATAATTAAATTATCGCATTAATAGGAAATTAGTTGCTAATCGAAAGCTTTTACAAAATTGTAATGATTAGCGAGTGTTTGTTAAAAACAATATTATTGGATATTTATTTCGCTTTGTAGTACCTACTTACTCCTTTATCCAAATATCCCTTCATATTTGTAGACTGGCCTTTTGCTATTTTTCATGCAGCATTAGGGTCGGTGCATATATGACGGAAAATCGGTACGGAATGTCATAAACGGCAGGTATAATGATAACTCAACCTTGCACTCCGTCAGTCTGTCGAATGTACTAAAGTATACTTCACTGATACGCCCGACGGATCTTCCATCAAATTTACACCAACCCTAAAATTGATATTTTAAGATAGACTTTAATTGTTGTGCGCGATGACAAAATTAAAATCATATAATAATAAAACAATCAATTTGCACGACAGAAAGACCTTCGAATTTGCCCAACGAGATTGGAAATAGACGTGACATATAGCACTAGAGACCCCGCGAAAACAATAGGTCACTTGGCTGTCCATACAATAGATTAGGGGATCGTAGTAGAAGATACGCAGGTCAAAATTGGATGGAAAAGGCTTACTACCAAACATAGAAAGAACTGTTAGAGGTCTATTTCAAAAACTGGATACAAATAGCTGATGATGACGATAAATCATTAATCATTAAGTAAATACTCACAGGCCGGTAGATGTGTAGTTATATCGGAGAGGTCGATCTCTGTCCGCTCACGGGGTGCATGTTTCTGCAGTTTTTCTCTTTGCTCGCGTGCTGGGTGCAACTGCGGTGGTAGGAGAGGTTGAGGGTGGGAACGAGGGTGAGGAGCGGCGGGGCGACGCGCTGGTGGGGAGCCCAACTCCGGCGGCGGAGGCAACTCGTTGTCGCCGGCGCACGAGTCCTCATCCGAACTGGATGCTGGGGACAAAATTAAAAATTATTTCTGATCAATAAACAGCGACGAATGGAAGCAGTCCTCGCCTCATATCAACCTGACACTGCCCAAGGAATTCTAAAGAGATCTAAACAGATGGAAATCTAAAGGTGCAAGCAAGGTCAGGACTATACGGCGGATGCATTAACAAACTCTCTTAATTATTAGATGTATGAGGTCTAGCATTAAAATGATGAAAGACCACACCCCTTCTATTGATTATTTCTGTTCGCTTTCTCTCAACTTCTTGTTTTAATCTCATAAGTTGTTCGCAATAGAGTTCAGAATCAATGGTCCTGCCTGGCGGTAACGGCTCATAATGACTTATTCCCTTCCAATCCCACCATACATACAGCACCACCTTGATGCGAGTTAACCCAAGTATCGCCACAGATTGTGAAGCCTGGCCGACATTTGATCACAACCTTTATAGTACGTGATCCACTTTTCATCACCAGTTATCAGCTTCTTTAAAAGTGGTTTGGTTTCATTACGCCGTAATAAAGAATCACAGCTAAGTACACGGTTCAATAAGTTTCGTTCAGTGAGCTCGTGAGTGACCCAAATATCCAACTTTTGTGTATACCCAGCTTTTTTAAAATGCACCATAACTGTTTTGTGATCAATTCCCAGTTCTTACAGCTACGTCGTAATTACTGATATAGATTTTGATCCAATTTTTTAAAAATGGCATCCATTTTATCTGTAATAGGGTGACCTGAGCGACGTACATCTTTGACATCAAACTTCCTGACTGAAAACGCTTAAGCCAAATTTGTGCTTCTCTCACAGAAACTGCACTAGGTCCGTTAACGTCACAATTTTTTTTCGCGATTTATTTACTTTTTTTTGTATAATTATTTTAAAATGTATCGAATTTCTTCATTTGATTGAAATATTTTAATAATAAAAAAAAAACAAATGAAAATCACACATTTTCCCAATATGAATTCGTAGTTATCTTTAAAATACAAACTTTTTAATGATACCGAAACTAGCCAGATACAAATGGTATAGCCAGAAAGATTTTATTACAATTTTATGCATACCATACGCGAAAACACTTTTTCCCTAATCTAATAAGAACATATTTTTTTACTTCTTTTTATTGGTCATAGAAGTAGGCCAACACCAGCAATTTATTTCAAGTGTTGTATTTTTTGAACATAGATTTGCTATTTTTTTTTGGCGCTATCGAATTTGGTCTGCTAACGGCGGTGGACCAGGGTATATTACTTTTCAATGCTCATAACAATCTATAAACTGTGAGAAAAGAATAAAAATACTCACATAGGTCGTGCCTTTCCCTGTCGGGACTTTTCGCCATCATGGAGGTCCTCTTAGATGGCATCGGCAACGAGGGTTTAGGCCTGTTCTGCATCTCCGCCAGCGCTTGCTGGACCGCCTCTTGTCGCACCTCTGTAATTAAACGCATCTTTAAAACTATATTCTTGACGATAGTACTTAATATTCCACTGTACGGTGTACATATGATTTGTGTTTTTGATATCAGATGGTAAATATATATGAAATAGTATGTACAAGTATTATCTACATAATATACTAATAAAAAATGGCTAATGGTACAAGTCCCGAACTAGTATAGTTCGTTATGTATAATATAACACCGCCTTATTTATACAAGCACTGTGCAATTGTGCATCTTTTAACATCAAGCCTTCATTAATTATTCGTCTGCCAATAAACATATAAGCAAGCAAGGTCAACTTATAAATATAACATGTTAAAGAACCTTCCCAAACTAAAATAGTATGCATTTTAAAACTCATGCACGTATATTTGAGCGTATAAAAATAATATAGAGTAGGATGCGCAGTGAATTCGGTTCAAATACAAAATCGTGTTTAAGATAGGTCGATTACTCATTCCAACTACCTTTTCCATCTGAATTAATGGGTTTAGGTTTGAACAAAGCATCGGATTTTTAAGCCGAGTTGATTTCCTATCAGTGTAGAATAGTGTTTGAGATGAAAATGAAAATTTAGAGATATGATTTACGTTAATATCGAGATATCATAAATCTTATTGATACTATTGTTCCGTGTTAAACTTTACAGATTTGTTCAAGATAGAGTTAGAAGTCAGATAGAGTTTTGGAATGAATCAAATATTCCGGCGCATTATTGTTTATTATCGTTTGGCATCTTAGACATATAAGTAATAATAAAGTAAGTTTCCCTAAAAATAAAAAAAGTGACGAAGAAATCATCCTTGCTTTAATATAGTAATAGTGGCTTTGATGTTATTTTATAAAAGGTAAGTTGCTAATTAAAAAATACTTTGCGCTGGTACATTACTAATTAGAGGGCTCAAAAGCCAACAAGAAAGACTCCCTGAATCAATGAGCAAAAGATGTAAGACGATACCAAAGCACTTTCCAATTAATTCACTAGAGCAAAATATTTCTTGACGTTTACTTAAATTGAAAACGAGAAAGTTCTACGTTTGTCGGGTATGTATTTTTACAAGTACACGGAGAACATATGTGCTACGAGTATCGGGACCTGTATACCAACCGTGTACTCAGAAATAGTGTCAAATTAATAAAAACAATTGGTGTGTATTACACAATGAGCGCAGAGGGCCGATGCACATTACCCTCATCGGGTCATAACGAAAATGTATATTGCGTTTATAATGAGTTTATCAATTTTGTATACTTATTATTTTTATTATTACAAGTATATATATACTTATTTGTACGATATTAGCTACATTATTAAATTGAAGGATGTAAAGGCACAAGTGATTGTAATTGTTCATATCACACGTTTTGTTAAAAATCGATTTAAATAAAGGGAAAATATTATATTTAAGACAAAACTGCAAGTATAAATATTGAAATAAAATTTTAAAGGTTTTATATTTATTATATATCTAATCAAAAATATAACATGTACAAAAATGCACAAGTCTCACAACGCAATTCTCCTGTCATAAAAAGCTATGAAATAAACGTAAACCAAGTCGATTAAATCTGAACCTATTTTTCTGAGAGAGTAGCTCGCGACTTCAAAGCAATTCAAAGTTTGAAATATGACGAACTTTTTCATTCCCCGACTGTATAATCCAGCCTTAGATTTTTTTATTATATAATCTGAGTATATAATGTTGTTAACATCTTGAATAATAGCTGCAGTGTTACTAAAGTTATACTGCACCGAAGGATCGGAAACAAAACACAGACTATCGGTTCCCGCACAAACTAAGTGTAACTTAGTGCTGGATAGATATTACCATTAAATAGTTTTGTCTAACCGGTAACATTACGAGTCGACTTAGCAACTTGACCATTTAGCCTAGACAACTGAGATCCCGTTTGCACTAAATTCTAACAAGCTGTTTTATCTGTGATCACAAATTTTTGTTATTTTGCTTATATATCTGAAAAAGCGAAAATCACAAGAAAAAATGAAAGACACTTGGCAGATGGTACATTTCCTTTTATGTAGTAAAAAATGTTTCAATGCTACATGATACGAATATATAAAATATTAAGTAATAATGAAACTCACTAATGTGTTATCATTATTATTTAATATTTTAAAGAGCAAATATAAATTGGTTGCTTTTTTTTTGTAACGAATCAACTCCGAAACAACTGGATTGATATTAAAAATTCTTTTACCTACAGGAAGCTACATCATACGCGGGTGACATGGGCTATAAATTACGCGTATGAAATCGACTACGATATAAAAGCTAGTAAAATAATAATGAAATTTAAATACAAACATAGGGAACAGAAAAATGTTTAGTTATCCTGCCCTCCCTTGAGGAATAAAGTCTTAGTTAGTCACGTCACATCTACATACCTTCCCCCATCTATTTTTCTAAGAGCATCAGTAACAAACATACATTCATCCTCAGAATCTTTCAAGGTTTTAATATTATAGTAAGTAGTGATGTTCCGGATATCCGTATCTGCGGATATCCGACGGAAAATAAAGATCCGTATCCGAATTCGTATCCGTTACATTTCTCGCGCATCTTTTACGGATCTTTTAACTTATTAATTTTCAATAGATAGGATGAAATGCTGTATATAGGTGTTAAGATAGATTTAAAAAACTATTAAATTTAATTCAAGTATTTTTTATTTCTTAAAATCGAAATTTGGCACCTTTATATTGCAAACCTTATATCGTAGTAAGTTACATACCAATAGTACATAACTCAAAGGTACTAGTCAACTATCTTTATAATAAGATCTATATAATAGAAAGTTATAACATTACTTTTATAAACATAAGAAAATGAGAAAACCAAAAACAAATCCTTTTGTTAATTAAAATGAGATCAATAAATTAGAAAGTAATAAGTTAAAACATTATTTTTATAACTATGAGATGATGAGAAAACCAAAAATAAATTCTAATAAAGTAAATTAATATTGCGTACCTAGTAGGTACTACCTACAATATAAAGTGTAAACATTAGATGACACGAGCAAACACAGTGAAAATTAGAGAAACTTGAAAAAATATTAATTATAAAGATCCGTATTCATATCCACGGATCTTGACATATACATTTTTATCGATCCGCCACATCACTAATAGTAAGGTAGAGGAACTGCAGCATATTTGGAATACTGCAGGTAATTTGGAATACTTCGATATCTAAATAAATATTAACAGCATCTATGTTTTTTTACCGTGAACATAACGTCGTAAGGCGCACTACGACATATAGCATTAAAAACAGGACACCATTTTGACATTCCGGCTACCAGCTCCCACGAAACAAAACGACAGATTTCAAAACTTTTTTGGTAAGTATGCAAACAACGATAATTGTTTACTCTCAAACATAAAATATTTAGTGTAATTATTCAAACTGTTATGTGACCTTTTTAGTTTATAATTTAACTTTAATTTTGTGAATATTTCTAGAATTGAAAATGTGATATGCCGTTTTAGGTTAGGATGGTATGTTGTTAATTTGGGATACTACACGTGAACTGTTACAAAGACTAGAAATTTATTAGTTTGTAAGATCAAGTGTTAACAGTATGTTAATAAAACATATAATTGTTAAAATATATATAGATAATAATATATATCAGTATATAATATAAAGTGAATATAATTTGGGATACTATATTCCAAATGTCCAATACTATATTCCAAATTACCTGCCCTCTAAGTCCTTTCACATAATTTCTAATTTTTAGCTCTTTTTGTTTTTTGATAAGGTTCTTGAATTTTATTCTTTATGATAGTTATAAATATTAAAGTTTAATAGTTTTCCAAGTAATAAACGTATTTTTTATTGAGCTATCTCTTTTTTATTTAAATTTATTCACAAAAAACAAACTGGTATTCCAAATATGCTGCAGTTACTCTATATAATAAGATGACGACGGTAATTTCTCCGATCGGGTCCATAAGTATCTTGTTATATTTGCCGACGAAACTCTTGACCTAAAATCGAGTCAAGTGCCGTCAAGGAACGGATAAAAGGCCAGTGAGTTAAAGAACGACAATCGATTCTTACACCTCCAAAAACTGAAAAACGGTTCGGCTATATAAATATGAACAAATAATTATAGGTAATTAACTTTATTGTATCAATTTCAAAATATCATTGTAAGGATACAGAATGTGGCAATCTTTGCAGGTAAAGTGGAAAAATTTGAATAAGTTACACTTCCGTACGTTTTGCATGAACCATTTGCAAGGGCCACAGGTGGATGCAGCGCAACATTAGTGGACCGTTTCAGCAATAAATTTGTTAAAACTGTCATTTTTTTATCGTGGAAATTTACAGTTAGGAAGAATTGAAAATGGTAAGCATGCGACGATGGATGCGGATTTATATCTATTTATTTTTACAACTTTTAAAAATACTATTGTTCATTATTTCTAAATAAGTTAACAACAATCCATTGTAATGCTAGATAAATTATTGTAATTATATCACAAAGCAAGACGTAGACATTTTAATAAGACAGTGGTCATAACCAATCAGAAGCTAATAAAGGAACGCTCAAAGGGTTATGTACAAACAAGACATAATATTAGTTAGTGATATGAAGCCGCATTATGTGACTATAATACCTATATGAAGTTAAGTTAAGGTGCCAGTTCACCTGATATGGTATAAGGGTATTTCTAGTTGAAATGCAATTCGTACTATTTTTACCAATTTTCTTTGGTAGAATTACATCGCGAGACTCCATTCAAAAGCTAACGCGAAATAAATCGAGAATCGATTGGATATTGAACGAATTGCGTGGCGCCATGAACCAACTGCTTTAATGAATGAAAACTAATTTGATCGATTTAAATTTTGGATTAAAACATTTACTTTCTTTTGTAGGATATAAAATTACTTTTATTAACAATATCTATACTAATATTATAGTTATTTAAGATACGAGTGCGGAAAGTAAG